TAGGTTTTAAAGCTTTTATTGAAAATAATAATCTAATTTTGAAATTAGGATTTAGTCATAATATTATAATACCAATTCCCTCAAACATTGAAATTATTAATCAAACAAATATCTTAATTTTTAGTAGTATAGATTATATTTTTCTAAATCAATTTGTACATTATATTAGAAATCATAAAAAGCCTGAACCTTATAAAGGGAAAGGTTTATTATTAAAAAATGAAAAAATTTTACAAAAAGAAGGAAAAAAAAGTAAAAAATAATTAAATATGATAAAAAAAAAAAAAAATAATAATAATATATTATTAAATTTATTATTTAAATCGAAAAACATGTATGGAGAATCATTGGTTTATACAAATAAAGAAATTTTACCATTTATATACGGAAGTCGACATGATTATACATTCGGCAATGAGCCTGACAACCCCGGTCCGGCGCAGCTCTCCTCGACGGGTATCGCTCGACGACAGCAATCCCAGTCATGAGCGAGTAGCTCTAGGTCCGAGTCCACGCCCCTCACCGTACCAGAGGCGTAGTCCGTGTCTTCAACAACAGCAAGAGGTGGCGTCCTCGTCGTACCAGAGGCGAAGCCCCCATCTTCAACATCAGCGTGAGATGGGTTCCTCACCCTACCAGAGGCGAAGCCCGCGTCTTGAGCAGCAGCGTGAGACGCTTTCTTCGCACGATCCGTTGATCAAGCTCTCAGTCGATGTACGGTTGAAGAACACTGTCAACCAGCGTCTGACATCGGGATTGCGGATGGGCACACACGCGGTTTCAAAGTGACACATGGGATGAGGCGAAAAACATGCCTTGGGGGCATCATCCAGCGCGAGTTAAAGCCACTAGCTATTCCGACTGGGGCACCTCCAGTCTGGACGGTTGATGAGCATGAACCAGCAATTGTGATGTTTGAGAAGTACACTTCTTTGAAGATGAACGGCAAGGTGCTGAACCCGTGGACAAGTGCTAAAGATCGTAAATATTTGCGGAAACACAAGGAGGAACCCGCCATTCTCTCTGTTTACAAGTACGGTAATGAGATATCCACCGTTGGCCAGTTTGCAGACTTTGAAGATCAGTGCATCGGTCCGGCTGCTATCGATCGTGGGGGTGCTGCAACAGAAGAGCTCCATCAACGCATGATCACTACTCTGAAGGAGAAATGGGGTGCTACGTTTAGTGCACAAGATATGTCGTGGCGCCTGTGGGCCGCACTCGTTCTCAAGAAACCCAGGCCTCAGCACGAGCGAGAAATTGCCAAGGGCCCGCCACCAAATCTAGTGACGCAGTTCAGGC